TGTGCAAAGAGAATCAAACTTAAAACTTAAAGATATGGATTTGATATGGATATTTAATCATCTTTTTGAAGATTGCATGATGAATAGGGAATCAAACGTCACTCAGGGCGATGACATTGACAATATATCTTAAAATCAAGTTTATCGGAGGTGATATACAATATATTTTAAAATCAAGTTTATTGGAGGATCTCCTTTTCGGTTTTCCTTTCACTTGTTGGTCATATAACATAATTAGAAAGTTTAGCCCATATAAATATAAGAAACATAAACAGAGAAATAATATAGAACCTATATTTGTAGTAATAACGACGATAAACAACTGAATATAATTAGGTATAAAGTAGAGATACTAAAAGGAAAAAATACTTCAAATATCTCAGGAACTACCTACAATCCTTATGCAATTCAAAGTACACAGATTACAGTACTTTACTCTCTACAACATATATCAAGATAGAAACAAGAGAAATAATACAGAACCTATGTTTGTAGTGATAACGACGATAAACAACTGAACATAATTAGGTATAAAGTAGAGATACTAAAAGGAAAAATACTTCAAATATCTCAGGAACTATCTGCGATCCGTTCTACAATTCAAAGTACATGGATTACAGGACTTTATTCTCTATAACATATATCAATATAGAAACAAGAGACATAGCCATTCGTAAGCAATTAAGAAAAATAACTTGTAACTTTACGAAATGAATATAACATTAACTTGTTACGGCGTTATGAGTAGTGTGCTATTCACTAACTCTGAAAATTATCTGATTCATCAATTGATTTTATTCATTATTCTACACTGAGAAAAAAGCGGTTAGATTGACAAAATTGGCAGTCACCGGCCATCAAAGAAATATTGGATCAATTCAACAAAATACAATGTTAATGCAACAATAAGTTGCGTTGAAATCACTATATCAACGCAACTTATTGCTGCATTAACATTTATTTTGTTGAATTGATCCAATATTTCTTTGATGACCGGTGACCACCGATTTTGTTAATCCAACCGCTTTTTCTTGCATAATCTCCGAAACCTAGTTTGATACGGGCTTTAATGTCTCTTGATTATTCCGCTCAAAAGACTCGCGTAATTTCAGTTATCGCGGTTGTATTTAAGTCAGTATTTTCTTGTGACAAGCTCAGCAAACAGCGTCTGCTTTTCGAAAGCAGATAAAATATAAGACTAATTGTTATTCAAGATTTGAAGAGTAAGGCTTGGCGAACGTCACACCCTATACGTAAAGTGATACTCTTACGTAGTCGTTTTCAGTGATCGTCTAACCGTCGCGTGAGACTCTTGGAGCTCGCGTTTACACCTCCCGTTCGATATCGCGAGTCGTTAATTATAAACGTTCAAGCGGCTTTATCGCTCGTAAATAGTGCAGCGGAACCCCGCAAGGAACGAGCAAGATATCTAACGGGGCGATTCCCGCTGATCGAGGGAAAAGCGATACTCGCGGATTGTCAACGGCTAACGGCGCCACGAGGCAATCGCTGGCTGGCGGGCGTCTAGTCGTCAGCGAATTCTCAGTCTTTCTGCTGGCGATCAGGCTCGTTATCCTCGTCAATTTCGTTGCTCTGCAATTTGATCGAATTGGTGCGCGTTCGAGTGAAACTCGCGGTATACGGTGTAAATTTTGAAAGGAAGGAAGAGTCCAGTTCCAATAATGAAGGAGATTCAGAGCTTCCACGAGGAGGCAGTCGCCTCCGAGTATCTCATGTCTACCCTGACACCTCGACAGGTAAGGCGAGAAACGAGAGCGTAATGCGCGAACGTAATTGAACGATCGACAAGGTAGATGCGGAAAAATAGATATTGCGTAATGCTTCTATTTTCTAACGGTGGACGTAGCGAATGCGGGAAGCTCGAAGCACGAACAATCGATAGGACGAGAAAGCACCGCTATTTGTGCTTCTTGAATTCAGATGATCAAGTGAAGAGTGGCTCTTGGAAGTTTACGCGACAAGCGATCCTGAGTCATTGAACGTGACGATCGCTTCCAGATGTTTATGTGTATGACTCGAAACGATGACTTCAGCTCGCGTTGTTCGCTATTACTGTCTGCCAATGAATGGTCGCGACGATCTCAATTTCGCGGATTATTTGCCGAATGTTGCTGCGGTCGACAGAAATCTAGGTCGGTTGCTTATGAATGCTGAACGGCACACTGGAATATACCATATATGAAACTATGTATAAACGTCTCGCAGTTAAGACTAAAAGCGCGATAATAAAACATCGACCTTGCTTCAGCGACTGCGATAAGCACGTAGTCTGATATGTTATATTCCAACTGCACTCACATTCCTTTGCAAGGATCACTTTCTATTCGACACTTCCTTCGAATAAGAAAGTACTCCCGCAAGTTTTAGAATTGATAAATTTGTTTATCGATAGAAAGAGAGAAAGGATTGACTGGGAATGTACAGTTTATTAAAAAAGTTTTTGTATTTATACATATATCAACGCGCGCGTGTGTGTGTGTGTGTGTGTCAGAGTTGGGAAAGTTACTTTTTAAAAGTAACTAGTTACAGTTACAGTTCCCTTTGCTGAAAATGTAACTAGGTACAATTACAAGTTACTGGCTATGAAAAGTAACTCGTTACAGTTACTCAAAAAGTAACGAGTCATTACTTTTAAGTTACTTTCTTGAAATGATTGTAAATTATTATTGTAAATACAAAAATTTTACATTTTAAACTTCACTAAATTGTAAGAATTGAATTTTATAATTAATACCTATTCCATTAATTAGTCAGTCCACTTTTCACCAACAAATTTCAAATCTGTGCTTAATATAATAAAAATTTAATGATAGCCTTGTAAAGGTAAAAGAATTTAATTACATGCTCTATAAATACGTTGATAAATTTCCCAAATGGCACAGAGAATTTAAAGAGAATTCAGTCGTATGTCACCAATTCTGAGTTCATTTTTAAATGCAAAAAGAATTCTTTTCACTGAACTAAAGAATTCTTTTTGCATCTGAAAATGAACTCAGAATTAGTGATATACGACTGGATTCTTTTTTAATTCTTTTTAAATTCTCTATGCTATTTGGGTTATTAAATTAATATACGATTACTAATATAATTACTTATATAATTTTAATTTTATTTTTACGTTCCCCAAGTAACTATTAAAGTAAAAGAGTTACAAGTTACTAAAAATAAGTAACTAAGTTAAGTTACAGTTACAGATGGGAAAAAGTAACTAAGTTATTGGGAATACAAATTAGTTCGGTTCATTTTTTGTGGTAAAAAATGAATTTATTTCAGAACAAAATGAATGAACAGATTAATCAAAGTATTGTCCATCGCTGGCTACTACTTTTTCCCACCTCTCAGGCAATTTTCGAATTCCATCTCGAAAAAATGTCTCGTCTTTTGAGGCGATTCAAGTTAGGAGCCAATTTTCGATTTCTGCGAAAGAAGTGAACCGGTGACCTGCCAAATCGTGCTGCATCCGTCGGAACAACCAGTAATCAGAAGGAGCAATGTCCGGCGAATACGGCGGGTGAGGTAAAATATCCCACTTGAGCGTTTCCAAATAATTTTTTACGACTTTTGCGACATGAGGCCAAGCGTTATCATGCAGAAGAATAACTTTGTCATGTCTTTGATCGTATTCCGGCCGTTTTTCTCGTAATGCACGGCTTAAACGAATCAATTGTTGCGTAACTCCCAATGATTCTGCAAGCTCCTCTTGCGTTTGACTCGGATCTTCATCGAGTAATGCCTCCAATTCTTTGTCTTCGAATTTTTTTGGCTGTCCAGAGCGAGGCTTGTCTTCAACGCTGAAATCACCATTCTTGAAACGTCGAAACCATTCC